AAAAAAAAAAAAAAAAAAAAAAAAAAGGCAATGGATTTGAGCTAAACTAAACATATTTTTCCCCTTTGAGAATAAAATACTTATTGTTAAAAGTCAGAAAGCAGTACAGAAAGAATACATTCTGGTTTATAAACTAAAATTGTGTCCATTAAACTTGACATTCACATCCTAAGACTGGCTCTAACCATATTTGGAATTTATGTATATTTTCACCACAAAAGCCTATCTTCAGAAGGAGGACGCTAAAGGACTTAAAATATTTTTATATTGCTATGTCATTTGAATGCAATATTCGCTCAACAAGTTGAATTATTGACAATATTCAAAGTTTTATGAAATGTTTGAAGTGTGGAGTACCAATTGAAATGAAAGAATGTAAAACAAAGGCCATTCTGTCATGTACTTGAAGGTTTACTTTTGTTAGAACCTTTTTTGTTGTGCAGAAATAAAAGCACAATATTCCATAGAGATTTTAAAGAGACCCCTGCACTTGTGAAAACAATTTTCTGGTGTGACTGTGTCAAGACTTCCAACTTCGAGGCGGGCGGATCACAAGGTCAGGAGATCGAGACCACGGTGAAACCCCGTCTCTACTAAAAATACAAAAAATTAGCCGGGCGCGGTTGTGGGCGCCTGTAGTCCCAGCTACTCGGGAGGCTGAGGCAGGAGAATGGCGTGAACCCCGGAGGCGGAGCTTGCAGTGAGCTGAGATCGCGCCACTGCACTCCAGCCTGGGCGACAGAGCGAGACTCCGTCTCAAAAAAAAAAAAAAAAAAAAAAAAAAAGACTTCCAACTTTATGGAGAGACTATAAGCTTTCCACAAATTACTACACACACAAAAATGAAAAAGCCAAATTCACAAATTAAAAAAAAAAATCTATATGCTTACCATTAGTCTACATTCCAGTAATTTGAAAGGAATTACTTTCAAATTCCTTCAAGTCTCCTTGCAAATTTTACAGCATCGAGATAACTTCATTATCTACCTTATGCAGCTACCAGTGCCTTATCAGGTATCTGTTATATTCTTAGGTTTGGGTAAAAATCAGCTAAGTTACTAGTTTTAGGGCCTACTGTATATGAGGCATTAGTTTATTTAAATAGAACACAAAGAAAAGAAAAATTCTTTCGCCGGAGAAGAAAACATCAAAGCATCTTTAAAATGGTATCCAAGCACAGGCATTATTATCAAAATGCAATTATCATTCCAGTGTCACACACACACACACACAATCAAGCCTCCCATTTTAATCCACTGATTTAAAACTGATGAGGAAATTTTCCACTTCCTACAATAGCCTTGATTATGTTTTTACATGTCAAAGACACTCTTTAAAAAGGTCATGTATATGTGTGTATATGTATTACATGTATACACACACACACAGAAATATAGAATGCATGTATCTGTAGACTGCATTCATTGCATTGAGTAATAAAACACTGAATTTATAATCTGAGAAAACACATCCTTGCAGAGGTCTCCATGAAATTCCTATATAGCCATCCTCCCAACCCCTAACATTTTGCTTATTTCCACAGGAAAATCTATGCTGAGGATTTAATGGATTACTGCTAACATCTTCTCCACTGCCAACTAAAGGTATGAAATAATTCTCCACTCTCCAAATCTGCCCTCACAAAACTGCAGACTTCTTTGCGATCTGATTTCTCCCAGCTCTGTCATCCTCTAGAAAAAGGCTCAGTGCGTTCATTGAAACCAAGCAAGTCTCTTGGAGTTTCTGCCTCCTTGTTTTCATGAAAGTCAGGTAGGTGTTTGCACCCTGGCCATTTAATTTCTAGTTGGAGAAGGAAAAAGCTACCCAGGATTTCTGAAACAAGCACTTCTATGTTGTCCTCCCAGAAGGACCACACAAACCGGCAATTCCGCTTCGTGGGAATAAAGAAGTCTCCCTCAACTTCTTATTTTGCTTTTTCCTTTTTTTGCTTTTGCCTCCCTCACATCACAGGAATGACTGATTCTGAAATGGAAGCTCATGCACACCACCCCCCTTTTAAGAAAACATAATGCAACGCGTATGTAAACCCTACGGGCCACAGATGCCTTCAAAAAGCACAAGATTGGAGTACACAGAAAAAAAAATAAAAATAAAAATAAAAAAAGGCCCCCACTCCCCACAAAAAGAAAACGAACAATAGAAAATAAAATAAATAAAATAAAATAAAAAATAAAAAATAATTAAAAATAATTTTAAAATAAAAATAAAAATAAAAATAAGCCATACTACCACCCCGTGGATTCAGCTCTCAAGGACATCACCCTTTAATTTCAAAACCCTACCCAATCCCCATCCCAAATTTCTTAAGTTGGATCCAAAGGGTAGATTGGGATCCTCCGTCCTCGCTCCAGGCAGACTCGCCCAAGCCCTGGGCTGAATTCGTGACGCGGGATCCCAGCGTCCAAGCGGGCTGCAAGCACCGGGGCATCGCCCAGGCCAAAACCCCGCCGCCACCTCCTAGTACCCTTTCACGCTGCCTCCTACACCGGCTTCGCCTCCATCCCAAGATAGTAGCCGTGCATACGTGAAAAGAGGCCCACACATGCGGTAGAGGTGTGGAAGAAGCCAGATTAAAGGAAATCCTCGGTACAAAAAAAAAAAGAAAGAAAGAAAGAAAGAAAAGAAAAAGAAAGAAAGAGAGAGAGAGAGGAGGGGGGAAGGGGGAGGGAGGAAGGGGAAAGGAGGGAGGGGGAAGGGAGCAGGGAGGGAATGAAAGAAAAGGAAAGAAAAGAGAAAGCCATCTGAGGAAGGGGAGGAGTATGATGCGGAGGACATCCTCCGGGCGCACCTGGTTTTCCGAGCGAGACATCCGTTCCTAGGGTGGTCCTGGTCAGGCCTCAAGGGGAGCAAGGGTTGGCCTGATCCCCCATCCCCCGCTTCCGCCCCCACTGCTCCGGCTAGAAAGGGCGCTGTGTCTGGCGGCGACTAAGCTCCAGAATGGACGCCTGGACCCAGATTTGCGAGGGTCACAGGGCCCAGATACCCGAGGCGCAAAGCTCCCGGCTCCACCCAGGAGACCCCAGCTGAGGGACCCCAGCCTACCGGTTATCCCAGGGGCAAAAGAGCCAGGTCAGGCTGGGGAGCAGGAGGAGGACGGGGCGTCCAGGAGATCAACTGAAGGATGAGTGTCCAGTGGTAGACCCGCCTCCTGGAAAACCATAGGCGGAGAGAGTCACCGCAGAGAGGAGGGCGCCGGCTGGGACCTGAGCCTCTCCTCCCACAGCAAGCCCCCAACCCACGAATCATCTGCAGCCCAGTGGCACCTACCTCCATCTCCCCACGCCATCCCGGCCGCACATCTGCAAATCAGGCCAAGACGTTGCAGGCGCGGGTTGGCTTGCCCCAGCCGCGGCAGTGGGGAGGGGACTGGGATGAAGTTCCCTCTCTCCCTGCTTTGTCTAGCAGCCTCTAGCTCACCGGCCACAGTCTCTCCTGCCTCCGACTGCGCGGTTGGCGGATCTTCGCCATCAGTTCCGCCCAGGAGAGAGGGAAAGAACGCAGCCGAGCTGCGCGGGAATTGGGAGGTGGGTAGGGGCTGGAGAAGAGACCAGATGAAATCTGCCCGGGACAGCAGAGAGTCTTGAGATAGGATGGGATACGTGGAAGGAGCGGGTGGTGGTTGCCATTTCTAGGGCTGTGGGGGTGGTGCGCCTATTGCAACAGATTCCTCAGACCCCTCCTCCATCCCTGCCTTAGTGATGGCAGACCCAGTGCCCGACAGGCTTAACACTCCTCCCAACCCCCACTCGGAGAAAGGGTGTTCTAGGTGAGCACCGACCAGGGCTCCGGATCCACTGATAACCAGACCAGGGCTCCGGGAGCCTGTCCTCTCGGCTTCCAACTTTTCTGCTCCTCCGGAACAGCGGGCAGTTCAGAGACGGTGCACAGGGTGGCAACTGCAAACCGCCCTGCACCCGTATCAAAAGGTCCAGGCCACACTCAAAATCTTCCGAAGAAGCAAAACCACCAGCTCTGCCCCATTTGTGCGGCTTACCTCACCCCTCCCACGCGCCTCCTAAGCCCCACAAACGGGGAAGGGGTGCTTGGAGCCCGCTTCCGGGTTTGGAGGAGCAGCGCGGAGCTGCAGTCATTTCATCTTCACGCGGGGTTTCCAGCGCGCCCCAATCGTTACCCAGCCCGGTCTAATCAATCACTTGGATTATTTCTTGCATCCCCCAAGCCTTATCTTATTCTAGGCCAGGAGATGAAGGAGGGGAAAAAAAATCTTAATGCAACCCCAACCAAGGTGTTTCTCCCTTTTTCTCTCTGGCTAATGGCACCAGCCACCCCCCCCCTACCCCCCAAACCCCAGCTTCCCATAATAAGCACCCCAGGCGGTTGTAGTTTCCTTAAAGACGGAGCTTTGGGGTGGAGAGAAAAGAGAATAAAAGCCTTCCATGCTCACAGTTTGCAGAAGTCTTCTTGCTTTCACCATCTCCAGTCCTGGCGCTTTGCTCCTTTTCTCTCTGTGTGTGTGTGTGTTTGTGTGTGTGTGTCTGTGTGTGTCTGTGTGCGTGTGTGTATTTTCCCCCTCCTTTCCCCGCCACAATCTTCTGTTAATTTGTATGGAAGGCCTCGCTACTTTTTGAAAACATCTCACACGGCCCCAGAGCCGTTCAAATAGCTGATTGTAGAAAAATGCTTCCAAACAACGGTGGTCTGGATTTTTATTTTTAAGTGAAAATAAATCCAAATGTTCCTATGGAGAGATTGCATGTAGAAGCCGCACATGGATGTCCACATTCCCATCCACACCTAAGAAATGGAGCTAGACAGATGGGAAAGAGTCCTGTCCAAATTTTCCAATAATAATCATCATCATAAAAGGAAAAAATAAATATCAGATAAAGTGAAGCTCAAATATCCCCAGTGAGGCTTTCCTTCCTTTGCTGCAGAGCCACTGCTAGTCGAATTGTTTAAACGGCTTTTAAAAATAAGAATAATAATATGCGAGAGACACATCTTAACACTGCACCTACCTTAGCTGTGGAAGACCTGCATCGCCGTTAAGAGTTCTTTTTACACATCCAGATTTGTCTAGGGAACCCGAAACGAGGCATGATTCAGGAGAATGTATTGAAAGCCAGGCGCCTTCCCCTTCTGGAACCCTCCAACTAGATTCGCTCACCCAGAGGAATGCAAGAACCACCAACATTGCCTGGTTGGAGGAAATTCATTGTTTCTGCTGTCAGTAGTGTGTCCCTGGGCAGAACAAGGATTACAGTTGAAGCAGGAAGGGCCGAGCTAGTGGCTGAATAAGAGCTCTGTGCTGAGAGATAGAGATGAGAGAATAATGTCTCTGCAAGAAAAGAAGAGCTAGGGGGAGAGAGGTCCGGCAGCCTCTGGCGCTCTCCTGCCATTGGACCAAACTGAATGAAATTTACAAAGCCAGCAGCCAATAGATCTCCGGAGTTGGTCCCATAGCTACAGAAATCATGTCCGCAGCTACAACCTCAAGCAAAGGGCAGCTAATCCCTGTGCTAACCATCTGTAACGGAGAGATTCCGGCTACCCTGCAGATAGAGCAGGTGGGCATGGCGCACGGTGCCACCGCACCAGACGCTCACAGCAAATCTTCTTTCTGTTTGCTTTTTTAGGACTCTCTAGGTACCCTTCGCACCAAACATGCTGCAGTAGGTGCAAACATCTTTAATTGTTTAAGGTCACGATCTCCAGCAGTCCCTGTGTCTGCGTTACTGTGAGTCAATTGGGAAGTAATAACGTAAAAAAAATGTTTTAAGAACAGCAAAAATTGGAACGCAGCTCTGTAAAGTATAGGAGCTTTTTATGCCCTAGGCATGGTTGAAAGGGGAAGAATGAAGGCTTTTGTTTATTTCTATTCTTATACTTCCATGATTTTGATAAAATATAGGAGCTGTGCCCAGCACGAGGCATTTGTTTCTAAATACTCCTCATTTCCCAAGTCCAGTAGGTTATCTTTCCCGGAGAGTTTCAAGTTGCAGGGGACGAGGAGGAGGGTATAAGACTTGTATTTAAAGTTGGGTTGGAGAATGTTGGCTTGAAATTGACAATACTTAAAGTTCTGGGTATTTAAAGTTGGATTGAAGAAAGATGGGTTTAAATTGGCAATGCAAAGATCAGATGACATCATAGAATGTTGTAACAATGAACAGGGATTCTAAAATCACATTGCTTGGGTTTAACTTGCCTGTGACCTTAGGTGTGAATTTTAATGTTTGCCTCCATTTCTGCTTCTGTAAAATGGAACAGATAATCTCCATGTAACATTGTTGTATTGATTAGCTGAGTTAATGTGCAGGACCTGCTTATCTTCACAATATTTCGTAGTGATTACTTTTACTCTGCCTGGTAATAAAACTTAGCTTCTCTTAAAATTATTTCATGCTCCATTAATTCATTTATGGAAGGAAAAAGATAATGTCCCCAACACATAGGACATTTTCCTAATTGCTTCTGCTTTAGACAGTAAACCTAAGCATGAAGCCTTCCGTGATGATGCGAAGGATTTTGGACAGCATGAGCAATAATGGGGAAAATGATGGACACAAATTCGGGGACCTGGTTTGATGTTAAGACTCTATCCTTATAAACTTTGCCTAGTTGTAAAGTCAGTTATGTTCTGTGACTCTGCTGAGCTGACATTATTGTTATCTTTCCTGTGGGTTGCTTTCTCTTGTGGGGACTACATGAGATAGTATGTATGAAAACACCCTTTGCCAACAAGATTGGTACATAGATATACACTTATCTATTAATAGATATCTATACCCAATAATAGAAAAATGTATATTCATACATATATATATGTGTATGCATTCCCATTATTGGATATTTATAAATATACATATACTTTTTTCCATTATTGTGTACCTATTGAAGACCCATTAACATAATAGTATTTTTTATAGATATAGCTTTTCCCCCAAATCAGTCATATACGTGGATGTAGACATATATATGTAGATATATGGACTATGTATAGATATCTATGTCCTAAACTAAACAAGAACTTCAGCTTAAACACAATGATTTATAACGGGCCACAAAGTCATGGACTTTGCCAAGAGTGTATTAATTCATTGACTTACTCATAAGTTCATGGTTTTTTTTTTTAGCACTGACACAGTCCTAAGCACAGACATACATCTGTGAGACTCATTCATTTATTTTTGAGAAAGCATACAATCTAGTAGACAAAATAACCAAAAGCATGAGAAAAAAAAAATGTGATTACAAGAAGGTGTGTACAAGGAATACATGTAAATTAATAGGGACCCACAGAGGTGAAAATGATTAAGGAAAGGTTTGCAAAGGAAGAACATTCTGAGTAGGGAAGGAATGGTACATCGACACTGACTGGGTGAAGAAGTTGAGGAAAGATCTGTGGATAAAGACATCACAACAATACTGTATGTGTGGAGATCTAGAAATAGGGATGGTTTGGCATGGCAGGACATTGAATTTAAAAAGAACGTAGTGAGGAAAGGATTAGAGACCTAATTGTGAAGAGTTTTGGTGTCATGCTGAAAAGGTGGAATTTATTCAGTAGGCAGTTGGAAAGCCAGTAACATATTTTCTGCAGTGAGAGGAGAAGAAATAATCAGATTTATTTTTTAGGACAACCACTGTGATGGCAACATGCAGAACTAGTTGAAGAGGGCCTATATGGAAAACAAAGAAAATGTTTGTAAGGTTGCTACAAGAATGGATGCAACAAATGAAGCCCTGAATGAGAGAGACAGACAGAGAAAGAGAAAAGGGGAAAAGGAAGGGGCAGAAAAGAAGGAGAGGGAAGGGGAACAGGGAGAGGAGAGGAAAGGAGGGGAGGGGGAGAGGGCAGGAGAGGGAATGTTGGTGTGGAGAGACATCACTTCTAAATACCTTAAGGAAGCATGATAAAGTGAGATTGGGAGGCAGCTTTTGGGCAAAATCTGAATGCTTAGTTTAGTTTGTGGGTGCATTGGTTGGGTAGCATATCTCTTCCCTGAGACATGTGACCTGGGAAAGACCAGACAAGTCACTTCTATCTGAATTATCTCATTAAGACTTTTTAAAAATAATTGATTAATTTCTTTAAAAAAAGAAAAAGAAAGAAAGAAAGCAAAAAAAAAAAAAAAAAAAAAAAAAAAAGGCCAGGAGCAGTGGATCATGCCTGGAATCTCTGCAATTTGGGAGGCTGAGGCAGGAGGAACACTAGAATCCAGGAGTTCGATATCAGCCTGGGCAATGTAGTGAGACCCTACTTCTACCAAAAAATTTTAAAAAGAGTGATAGTGCACCCGTGTGGTACCAGCTATTCAGGAGGCTGAAGGTTAGGTCACTTGAGCCAGAGAGATTGAGGCTGCAGTGAGCCGTGATCACACCACTGTACCCCAGACTGGGTTGCAGAATGAAACCCTCCCTTAAAAAATTTTAAAGAAATTAGAAAGCATCTTAGACAAATGGAATTATGCTTGTAAGAAAAAGTAAATATAAGTTTATAATTTTCCCTAATCCAAAATCCCTCATAAGTGACCAGGATAGGACCTAAAACACCAATTCTTAACAGCTGAGTCACATGATTACAATACAGACAGAAGAGCTTCAGAGGTTAACAAACAGGATTCCTGAAAGACATAAAGATATCATTATTCATGTTTCCACTTGAAATCTAATTGTGGAGTATGGTGAGATGTGGGAGCTAAGAGGAGTCATAAAATGAAATAAAACAGCAGGGTTCCTAGAAGGATATATAAGCTTGGTTTGGTACAAAGAACTGGAAAAAACACGAGACATTATCTATACCATATTACTTGTTCTCTCTGATTTTCCATTTCAGTGTCTTCATCAACTGCATTCTACATACTGCTATGTTCATACTATTATGAACATACATATATTCATACATACTATTATGTTAATGCTTGTATGGGATCAATATGTAGAACCCAAAATACAATACTGGTGAAGCCAGATACACTACAGGGCATTACTGATTTCTATTGACTCTCCTAATACAGTCAAATTGAAACAGAAATATTTTCAGTAGGATAATTGTTAGTGCAATAATAATATATGCCATGTTACTAATTATTAATCTTTATTGGAGAGATAAATATGTATAATATAAAAGGTGCTTAAACTCTAATAAGGGAATAAATTAAACTCTTCTGTTATTAAAATGCAACTCAGTGTGTGATATATGCCATCTCCAAAGCATACAGAAGGCATAACAGGCATCCTACTCTGATAGTGAGAAAAAGGTTCACAGATTAACAAGGGTTTTCTGGGGAATTGGACAGTAGATATGGAAAATTATTACAAGTTAATGAAATCTGGAGAAGAGAAATACATATGGAGTGAGTAGAGGCTTTGGAACTTCAAGGTGCACAAGGATGACCCAGGAAGATGGTTACAAAATCCATGGCTCTAAAGCTAAGCACGAGGATTCAAACTTAACAGGTCTTGAGTGAGTTCTGAGAACCTGCATATGGGGAGCCACCCTGCTACATGAGGTTGTATTTTTAGATAATCCTCAAGTTAAACACTGAGAACAGGAATGGTGGTAAGCTGCTTGTAGGCTCTTATCATTCAAAGAGGAGACTAAGAAGGCTGGATTACAGAGGTTGATGCATATTCATTGGCTGGAATCCTTAGGGGTGTTAGTAGGGGATGGTGGCAGAGATTACCTTTCAGATAATTTACTCTGAGGGAATTTAAGGGCTGAGACATGCTAGAACAAAAGAGGACGGTGAGACTGCAGCATTCATAAATTTGGGTATTAGCTGTGAAATACACAGTAGTAGTGAAATTTCACAGTAGTAGTAAATATTTTTTTCACTATGGATGGCATTTGACTATATGCACAGTTGCAAAAGTTGAGTAAAAATGGGATGGAATCCTAAAATAAGAAGAGACTAAAGATAGCCTTGACCTGGTGAGATGGGAAGGCTAAGATGAATGAGACTGCATTCACCCAAAGTCACTTGTATGGAAAGAAAAATGAGATGCTACTGGATCATAGAAATACCAATGACCTACAGACCTGAGATCTTTGGGACAGGAGATTTGACCTGAGTAGGGATCTTAAGGTAGGATCTGTAGATCTGAGCACAAACCCTATGGATATTACACTTAACATTTTGCTGTAAAATAGAGAAAGTGTTCACTTAAAAGGAAAGGCAAATCTTTGGAGGAAGTGACACTGGGTAGGAACTCAATAGCAACATGAAATAGAATCATTGTCCCATCTGCCAAAGATCTCTGGTAAGAGAAAACATGGCATGGAACTCAATGAAGGACTTTAACCTGCACAAGGAGTAGGCAGGGTCAATTATGTCAAGGTCTTCAGAGATTTTAACAGTGAAGGACAACCGGAGAGTACCATTGCATTTTGG